AATGGGGCCGCTGGGGGCTCGGCTCTCTCCCGCTGGCGGAGCTAGAAGCCGGTCCCCGTGCTGGGATGGAGCGTGGCGGGGTGCCGTGCTCCCCCAAAACTCAGGGCGTCTGCAGCGGAGGGAACGGCTCTTGCTCTGGCTTCCCTCCCGCCCCGCTGGGATCGCGGCCCCCGCGCCGGGGAAGCGGGCTGGAGAGGGGGGCGAAGGTATGGCCGAGAAGATCCTCCCCCCCACCCCGGGCCTGATCCTGCCCGTGATGCTTTTACACCGCCGCGAGCTGAGCGCAGCCAGAAATGGCGGGGCTTTGCACCAACTCTGCGCTGGCGGGTGCAAGGCCGTGGAGAATCAGGCCCCCTTTGTTTAATAAAGTTAGAAAAGAGCGAAGATTCGGCAGGCGGAATCGAGGGGAAACGTTAGACGATGCGGGAGGTGCCCGGGCTATTTTCTTCCTGGATCTCACCGCTACCCCAAACTCCCGAGAAGGGGGTGTGTTTCGGTGCGTTCGGTACGCAGCGGCGTGCCCGTTGCGGCCGGAGTGATGGAGAGGAACGTGGAGACCTGGATTTTTTCCACCATTTTTAGCGCGCGCGTGTGTGTGTGTGTGTGTGTGTGAGGGCTTTCCCACATCTGGGAAACTGGGAAATGTCAGTGGGCCAGAGCCGCGGCGAGGCGGGCTCGGCAGCGCTCCATCAGTTAGTGGGTCCGACGGCGTAAGCTGTGCCCCTTTATAGAGACGGGTGGGCCGCATCCTGCGCTGGCAGAAACCAAGATTGCTTCGGCAGAGTCCCCGCAGCCGCAGCTCTTGACTCCAGCAGAGATTGTGGCCCACGGTTCTTTTTAAAGGCCTACAGGAATGTCGCCTGGGTCTTGTTTTTGTGCGGAAGGCCAGATGACGAGGGTCTGGTCTCGGATGGAGCTGGGTGCAGGGCACCCTGGGGGGCCGAATCCTGCGCTCTCAGGGGGGCCTGACCGGGAATCCCAGGGGGAACCCAGAAACTGCAGGTTGTCACCCCCTTGGTAATACTGCTCGTGGGGCTGATGGTTTGCTAGGGAAACGAGTGTTTTCTGGGTACTTGTGGATAGGGTGATGAGCATCTTGAAAAAGAGGGGGGGGGAAAAGGTAATAGCGAAATAAAAATTATTTTGGGTAACAGGCTTGAGCTTTTTCTTTAACTTAATGTTTTCTGATCTGACGAACCACACTGTTCCTTCGTATTATTTTAAAATAATATCTACCATCTTTGAAAGTGTACCTTACTGACATGTATGTGTGTAAGAGGCCTGGATCTGGGCACGGGGGCCCTTTTCCATGGATCTGGCAATGGGATTTCCACCTGCCCCAAGACTGCCCTTTACTTTGCCCAAAGAGCGTAAAGGCGCTTGAGTATAAATAAGGCTCAAGCCCCATATATTTTTATTGGAACGTTTGTAAGTGTGATTTGCGAAGAGGTTTAATTGTGGCGGAGGGGGTGGCTCCCCTTGGAAGGAGAGATGCTGCAGGACCTGTGCTTGGCGTCTCCCTGCTTTCCCCGGGAACTGCTAACGTGCCCTCGCGGAGCCAATCGCGTGCTGGAAACCTCGCTCGAGTTTGCGGTGGTGCCGGTTTGTGCGCTGAATTCGAGCAGCGCTTCTTCAGCGGCGCGGTCGCTAGCCGGGCGGGATGGGGGGCTCCCTGGGACGAGATGGCGGACTGCTGAAAGGGGGACTTTGCGGGAATTGGCCGGACAGGCGCCGAGAGCTGCTCCTCCAGCGTGGTGCCCCAGGGTCCGCGGTGGAGAGCCGGGTGGCTGGTGGTTTGCGCCAAGGACTGCTTTGCAGATTGGAGTGAAGGAGAGGAAACTGGAAAAGGATGAGGGGATAAAGTCATAACAATCCCTTTGACTGACGTTTATGACCTCTTCCACTCTGCCCCTGGCCATGGTTGGCAATGACTTCCCTTCCCTGGCTGGAAGTGGAGCCATGACCTCCACGCATGCCCTCCTGTCGCTGCTGGGTGAGGAGCAGGGGCGTCTCTGCCGGTGTCGCAGCTCCTGCGGATCGTTCCCTCCTTCCCTTGGCAAGAGTGTGGACTCCAGCCGCGCCACGCTTGGGTGGCTGAACCTCCTGGCGTGTGCCGTGGCACGCACGGTGCTCGCTGGTCCTGGAGCCGCTCTGGCTCTGCGTGGTGCACTCGGGTGCTCGGTGGCTCTTGTATTTCGCCTGCCAGCTCTTGTTGTGGGCATCTTCCCTGCAACACCCTTTCCGGGACCGCGCGTGTTCTCAGAGCTACGCGGATCAATTTGCCAGGGTGTAAAGACAAAGCACCGAAGCGGTTTGCAGGTGATTTTTGAGGAGATGGTGGGGCACCAAGGAGTTGCAAAGGAGAAGGTCCTTGCAACCCAAGGGTGTGGGTTGAGAGGGGAGAGATGCTGGGAAGAGTGGAGAGTGTCTAAGGGCGTCGTGCTTTGGCCGTTCAGGCTGTGAACTTCGAAAGGGGCAGAAATCCTCAGCCACCGAGATGTCCAGGTTCTTCCCTAGAAGTCACGCGAGGCAGGCGTAGATCAGACCGATGGAGATGCGTATCTGACTTTTCTGCCAGCGTTAAATCCGCTCCCAGTGACAAACTGGGCCGATGTCAGCGGAGCCAGAGAAGAGGCTGCTGGACTCTAAGCGGGGCACATTTAAGGCTGGATCTTGTAGTTAAGGAGACGTGGCCGTGGTTCTTTGTGTGCCTGGTGTGTGCAGGCACGGGGAGAAGGTAGCGGGGCAGTTTGGCTTCGTGCTGCGTGGAGCACAGCAGTGCGAGCTGCCCGCTCCCAGCGGGTACCTTCCCTGTAAGAGTATTTTTGCTCTCATCATCAATAGTAGCATCCATTGTCACCTGTACCCAGAGACACCCTTTGATGAAGCATCTCCCAGCCTGCTCTAACTAGCCCGTTGTCAACAGGAATGAGATGATGTGAGAGAGGAGCTTAACATAAATTGCTCTTTCTTGGCAAGGTGAAGTCAAATAACAAGAGGCCCCACTAACCCCAGGTGATTGGGCTCTTTGTGTAGCTCCAAACATGCTCTAACGCTTTCAGCATTTAAAAATAGTCCAAGGAAGGCTTTTTCATTGAGGAAGTCTGATGATTGCAGCTCCCCCACCCACCATGTGGAGGTGGATGTACAGCATCCGAGAAGCAGCGAGGGGGTCAGATCCTGTTCTCCGCTTGCTTCGCGGAAATCTTGGAGCTGAAGCCACCCGGTCTGGTGGGGCCTGAAAACCGACCTCCTTATGCCGCTCTAGCAGCTCGAGACGGGCCTTAAAGCGAGAGAGAAATTGCAGCCGGTGTCAGATTGTTGGAAAGTGTTAATGAGAATCCATCTGAATTTACACCAGGGAAAAGTGCAGAATGGGATCGACTTTGTGCGGTTTGAACTAGAGGTGGGAGGAGAAAATGGGTCTGGGAGAGAGACAAAGGGAATTTTCTAGGGAGACACGCACGCTCCGCGCATCGGATCCGGCTGCTGGATGCCGCGCTGACCGAGTGAACCGCGCCGCAGAGCAGCCGGCCGGAATCTAGGGCAGTGGGAAAGCGTGCTGGCGTTGGGTGGGGGCCCCCGTTCCTGCCTTTGTCTGGCGGCCCCCTCCTACCGGCGTCCCGC